AAACAAGGTACTTTTTGTCAAAACATTAAAATACAACATTGAACTTATTAGTTGAACTTGCCTATTGCCAAAAACTATGAACTCATTAGAATTGGTCTTTAGTAACCCATGCTTATCAGCAGAAGCAAGTAACGGGATAGGGTGGTCAGGCTCACTGACTTTGTTGACACCAAAAACATATCCCAATTGAGCAGATCGATTCTCATGCTGTTGATCACTGGAGTGACTGGTCCAGACTCAATTATTTGCAGACTGCTGCGATATAGCACATGTGACACATGTGGTCTCACCTTAGGCAAGTGAGTTTGTTCAAAATTGTCTCTGTTCACCCAGCAGGAAAATGGGTACCCGGTGGAAAAAGTCATATGACTATAACCTTCTAGCGCCTAACAGGCAGCTTGGGTTATCCAGAGTAATAATGTGCTGTGCCTTGATTGTTAGCGCTATGAGAATACCTAGTGTGGAGTTTGGCGCTATATAAATGGACACATTATTATATAGCTGGCATATTGTTGACCAACCAACGAAAAACTCTGACTACATAATGCCATGTTGGAAGTGGTCAAATGTATACCCATAGTCAAAGTCAGGCACGGAATCGCAAGCACACAGTCAGCAATCTAACCCACTCAGCCAAATGGTTGTTTAGATCACATACTTTTCTCAGTAAATTACAGATTTAGTCCTTTTGGGGTTTGAGTCCCATTTGGCACTGAGAAATTGTAATCCCAAATACAACATATGTTACGTTTCACCACTTTCTAAAAGGCCTTGTGTATGAATAGCTTTGGCCATGGAAGCCATATCAATACACACTTGTCAGAGGGGTACACAAAGTCTGTGATCTTGACTAGCAGTTTCACACTTCTATTTTGGTGGTGGCTGAGTGGGATAGATCTCTGACTTTGTGTGCTGGTGATTAGATGCCTCACTCTGACAGTGTGGATTCAAATCACGTCACGAAAGGGACTCAACCAAAAATGTATTAAAATCTGTACTTTACTGTGAAAACGTAACCCCAAATATAACATATGTTACATGATACCACTTTCTAAAAGGAATTGTGTATTCAAATCTTAAAAGAAGTTAACCTGTATTTTTAAGTGGGTGAGTGAGTTTGGTTTTATGCCAATTTTATCAATATTCCAGCAATATTATGGCAGGGGGCACCAGAAATGGGCTTCACACATCTGTATTTTTTAAAGATGATGACCACCCAAAAAAATCTCATTACCCTACGAGAAGTCTCTCTACGTTCTTCCAATTTCTCCATGAATAGTTTTCCCCTGAAATGATCTCTCCAATTTCTGACACCTTCCCTCCATCCACTCCAAGTCCTATAAACATCACTAATGACTATCATTGTTTGGGAATGTTTGCAGGATGGGAGTGTTGACACTTGAGATCTTTCCACTGCCCCCTGGAGGGTGCAGACCGCCAGTTGTCCACTAGTCTCTGCAAGTCCACTACACAATCACCTCACTGTGGAACTAATGTGTTGAGCTGATGAGGTTTAACATTCCAGAAAAGCAGGCTCCACTATTCATGGCTTTCTTGCGAGTAAATTCACACCATGCATATTTTGTGTAGGAGGGATTTAGCTTGTTTTTCAGGAGCTGACATTTGGCAAAGGGATTTAGTTTTTCAAGAAGGATATTTGGCAAAAGAGGCTTAAAATTTTCAAGATGGAATCTGGACTTAATTATGAGTATTCCTCACTGAGAGACCCTACTTCCAACACATGGTTGTTTGGGGCTCAAAAGTCTGTGTATTCCCTGGAATGGTGTGTTTGATATAATGTGATGCTTAGGTGTGTATTGTGATTGATATGCTCTGATACAGTTGGCTGTCAAACTGACATGCAGCAACTGTTTTCTTGTTATTTCTTGTCTTGTGTTGTGTGTGTGTGTGTGTGTGTGTGTGTGTGCGTGTGTGTGTGTTGCATGTGTGTGTGTGTGTGCACACATCTATGTGTCCCAATCCACCCAGCTGTGAATGTGTACCTCGTTAGGATGAGAAAGCCCCACAATAACTCAGTGCGCCTAGGTGGCTCCATTTGTTGTGTACTCCCCAAGGAGTTGAGATTGATAATATGATGTGCTGTTGAGATTGACATCCAATGATCAAGAAAAAAATACCAGTGCCTTGAACATGCACTAGTTCCCTGGATATCTACGCTATATAAATATCCTATAATAATAATAATAATAATGTTTAATGCAGGCATGATCTCTTCAGACTGTGAGGCCCATGAATCCCAAATAAGGCTGACATTGTCCAAGAAGGGATGATGGATGAAGATCCTAAACACATAGACTGACACAGTGGAATGGAGACAGAACAGTGCTCTGCCCTGCACTGACAGCAGATTGGCAGTCCCTCACAAATACAGTGTAAATATCAACATGGAAGCAAGGTATACAATGAAGACAAGTGGGGGCACTCAGAACCTATTCTGTCCAGTCCCTAGGGACTCAAGCATGGTGTACTCAGAACCTATTCTGTCCAGTCCCTAGGGACTCAAGCATGGTGTACTCAGAACCTATTCTGTCCAGTCCCTAGGGACTCAAGCATGGTGTACTCAGAACCTATTCTGTCCAGTCCCTAGGGACTCAAGCATGGGGTACTCAGAACCTATTCTGTCCAGTCCCTAGGGACTCAAGCATGGTGTACTCAGAACCTATTCTGTCCAGTCCCTAGGGACTCACGCATGGTGTACTCAGAACCTATTCTGTCCAGTCCCTAGGGACTCAAGCATGGGGTACTCAGAACCTATTCTGTCCAGTCCCTAGGGACTCAAGCATGGTGTACTCAGAACCTATTCTGTCCAGTCCCTAGGGACTCACGCATGGTGTACTCAGAACCTATTCTGTCCAGTCCCTAGGGACTCAAGCATGGGGTACTCAGAACCTATTTCTGTCCAGTCCCTAGGGACTCAAGCATGGTGTACTCAGAACCTATTCTGTCCAGTCCCTAGGGACTCAAGCATGGTGTACTCAGAACCTATTCTGTCCAGTCCCTAGGGACTCAAGCATGGTGTACTCAGAACCTATTCTGTCCAGTCCCTAGGGACTCAAGCATGGGGTACTCAGAACCTATTCTGTCCAGTCCCTAGGGACTCAAGCATGGGGTACTCAGAACCTATTCTGTCCAGTCCCTAGGGACTCAAGCATGGGGTACTCAGAACTTATTCTTTCCAGTCCCTAGGGACTCAAGCATGGGGTACTCAGAACTTATTCTGTCCAGTCCCTAGGGACTTGTAGCTTCAGGGTACTCAGGCAATGGCAACAAATTATCGTCACCCCATATCCTTGTCCAAATGAGTTCAAATAGGTGATGTGCCCCAGATGTGATGTGCATCTTTGGCCACAAGGGCTTGTAACACTAAAAACTTGCCATCAAGGTATATACTGTCACTGACGGGGTCTTAGTACTATATAAAAGGAAAGAGATGTAACGAGGTCAACACACCAGGTTTGTTTCAGGGCGAATTCAACAATACTCACTGTATTTATCCCATTTAAAGTATGCACACATTTCAAGCCAATAGATTTACCTACAAAATGAGACAGCACAAAAATCGAAGCAGTACTTTGGGAGCTAGGGTCTTCGGAAGCTCGAAAAATCGTGATTTCTCGATTCCGAGCTTAAATCCCTGCTCAGAATTTGTAGCGGTAACTCACCCATTTTCTTGTTTATTTCACAGTATACACATACGACATTCACCAAAATATGTTGAACTGATGGCGCCTGTCAGCGACTAGTCGCCATTCTTTTGGAGACACTTACATCTCACTGTCATAATGAGTTTACGTACATTTATTCATCGCAAACAGAATTGTGTCGTGCCCGTTTGCCATTGTCGACCTTGGCCTTAACCTGCCCTGCACTGAAAATAGTCAGCGATTTGATAGGACATAATTTAATTTTAGCCAATGAGCTCCCTTGCGGCAGACTCAGAGTGTGCTGAACAGATCGATGGCAGGATGCACATGTATAAGTGAGATAGTTAAAGTTTGTGTAAACACAGACATACACTCCCCAATCTGCTGATCAATGCACATGTATCAAACCAGTGAGATAGTTAAAGTTTGTGTAAACACAGACATACACTCCCCAATCTGATGATCAATCCACGAATACAAGAAGGTGACAATTTCAACATAACTGACCCCATATTTTGGACAAAAAAAGTTTAAATACTGCAAAATTTGGCACATGTACAAAGTCTCTCACTGGGCTGTGTAAACACTTCAAAGAAATTACGCGGAATCTTGGCAAGAGCAGATTCTGGAGTGTATATCAAACTGAATAGACTTGAACAGAATGCATAATGAGGCCATGGCCATGTGCTGTCTCCTTAGAGTTGTATACTTCCCAGGGAGTTTGAAAAAAAATTAAAAGCATACTGATCCATTGGCCTGGGTACTATTGGTGTTAGCACTTTTAGCATGCATCAATGGACAATCAAACACACATGGGAAATTTCCAGTTATCATCATCATCTTCATTATCATCATCATCATCATCAAATTCATCATTATCACTGACCATGGATATGGTTATATGTAATTTCATGTTTTCTACACAACTCAGACTGTGTAAGTCAGTTTATTCACCAGTGTGAAGCAATGCGGCTGAGAATTATGGACAAAGTCAAATCATCAAATAATAAATAGAACGCAATCATTAGTACATAAGCACCTGTTTGACATATTATGTCTTGTAGCTCAACATTTTGAAAACTAGAGAATGCTTTCCTCTTTACCCTGTGCAAGCTGCTCAAAATGAAGTGTTGAAAAAGTTTGACCTTGAGATAAAAACTTCCTTCCTGCTGGGAACTCTCTACATGATACAATACAACACAACTGATCCACACATGATGGCCTGTCCGATCCATGACACAGATGCCTTAATTCTAAATCATGTCTGACATGGCATAAAACACACAGCCAGAGACTGATTAGATCAGTATTACATGCATCCCCTTCAATCAGAGGTCTCGGCCCTGCTGCACAAAGCGATCGCAGCACTACGACAGTCATAAGTCTATGTTAAAGTATGGGAGTTACGATCATCTTTGCTCTACGACAGTCATAAGTCTATGTTAAAGTATGGGAGTTACGATCATCTTTGCTCTACGACAGTCATAAGTCTGTGTTAAAGTATGGGAGTTACGATCATCTTTGCTCTACGACAGTCATAAGTCTATGTTAAAGTATGGGAGTTACGATCATCTTTGCTCTACGACTGTCGTAAGTCTATGTTAAAGTATGGGAGTTACGATCATCTTTGTTCTACGACAGTCATAAGTCTATGTTAAAGTATGGGAGTTACGATCATCTTTGCTCTACGACAGTCATAAGTCTATGTTAAAGTATGGGAGTTACGATCATCTTTGCTCTACGACAGTCATAAGTCTATGTTAAAGTATGGGAGTTACGATCATCTTTGCTCTACGACAGTCATAAGTCTATGTTAAAGTATGGGAGTTACGATCATCTTTGCTCTACGATAGTCATAAGTCTATGTTAAAGTATGGTCATAAGTCTGTGTTAAAGTATGGGAGTTACGATTCTTTTGCTCTCGACAGTCTTGTTAAAGTATGCTCTCACAGTCATAAGTCTATGTTAAAGTATGGGAGTTACGTCATCTTTGCTCTCTCAAGTCTATGTTAAAGTATGGGAGTTACGATCATCTTTGCTCTACGACAGTCATAAGTCTGTGTTAAAGCATGGGAGTTACGATCATCTTTGCTCTCGACACAGTCATAAGTCTGTGTTAAAGTATGGGAGTTACGATCATCTTTGCTCTACGACAGTCATAAGTCTATGTTAAAGTATGGGAGTTACGATCATCTTTGCTCTACGACAGTCATAAGTCTATGTTAAAGTATGGGAGTTACGATCATCTTTGCTCTACGACAGTCATAAGTCTATGTTAAAGTATGGGAGTTACGATCATCTTTGCTCTTCGATCGCTTTGTGGAACTGAACCCTGAACACCAGAAATGAGTTTCACACACTGTTGATCACTGGATTGTCTGGTCCAGACTTGATTATTTCCAGACCGCCGCCCTATAGCTGCCACAGTGCCTCTGTGCTCAGACAGAAGGTGAGGTGAGGTGAGGTGAGGTGAGGTGAGGTGAAATTGGGTTTAACGTAGTGCTTGAGAATATTTCGCTCATATGACGACGTGCATGCGTGTGTATGTGCGGCTGCTTGTACTAGCCCAGACTTAAGCTGGTTTTATAGTGCTAGCTCACTGAGATACCATGCCGCAGTGACAAGACGACCAGCCGACATAATCACAGGGCTTGACCCTGACCCCTTTCTGTCATCGGGCAGTACTTTTACATGATGGACATGACAACATTTGTGTCATACACGAGTCTCTTCGGCTCTGTGGTGGACTGGGTCTCAAGACTTTAAAACATATCACATGTGGAGGGATTTTCTTCGCATCTAAATAAAAAGATTTGGCAGGCACACTTTTAAATAGTTGTCTTGGACTATTTTAATTCCATATTTACTTCTATTCTCCAAATGGTGAGTGAGTGAGTGAGTGAGTGAGTGAGTAAAGTGAGTGAGTGAGTGAGTGAGTGAGTGAGTGAGTGAGTGAGTGAGTTTAGTATTACGGCGCACTCAGCAATATTCCAGCTGTAGGGTGGCGGTCTGGAAATAATCAAGTGTGGACCAGACAATCCAGTGATCAACAGCATGAGCATCGATCTGCGCAATTGGGAACCAATGACATGTGTCAACCAAGTCTTTAAAAGGACTTTAAAAAGATGGTTCTTCTTGTTATCCTGCCTGGTGCTGTGGATCAAGGGTATGAAACAAAGATTTGCCAGCTCAAACAAACAAGTAAGCACCACACCATATAAGCCTCCACGATACTGATCACAAGGACACACAGTCAGCGTAGACTTCTCGCAATGCTTAATTCCCGTCATCATTGATTTTGCTGCATTCATGAGGCAAATGATAAATAATTGCTGATAATTTGTGGCAGTTTTATTGGCAAAGTGTCTGGGATTCGGTAACCATGTTCTTATCTGAACCAATATTTCAGTGCGTGGACCACCATATGGTGAACCTTCAGGTCAAGTGAACTGGGGCCCGTTTCATAAAGCTCTCATAAGCCTAAGATCTCGTTACTTTTCTGTAACATTAGGAGGTCCTATGCTGTAACATAGGAGATGCGAGATGCTTCTGGCTTACGAGAGCTTTATGAAAGGGGCCCAGATCTCACTGTTCAGCCCAGGAAACAATGAGATCAGCTCAACTGGGAAGGTAAACGTTTTCACATTTTAATATTTCATACTTCATGACAACTGATTCTTTATCATTGATAATAATTTAATATTTCCTGTTTTTATGATACTCAGGCTGTAACGAATCCAGCAGTAGGTGAATACACACAGTGAAAAATACAACCCCTAATTGTAAGTGAGTGAGTTTGGTTTTACGCCGCTGCAATATTCCAGCAATATCACGGCGGGGGAACACCAGAAATGGGCTTCACACATTGTACCCATGTAGAGAATCGAACCCGGGCTTTCCGCGTGACAAGTGAACGCTTTAACCACTAGGCTACCTCACTGCGTCCCCTAACTGTAAGTCTTTGACTAGTGTGATGGTATCAGTTGGCCCAGACAATGTATTCATTCATAAGACTGTCCATTCATAATGCTAGGTCCCAATCCACAAAGACCCGTGAAGATCCGGGTTAAAATATATCTTCAGCAACCAATGCTTGTCGTAAGAAGCAACTAACAGAATCGGGTCGTCAGGTTCGCAGACTTGGTCGACACATGTCATCGTATCCCAATTGCATAGATTGATGCTCATGCTGTTGATCACTGGATTGTCTGGTCCAGACTCGATTATTTACAGACCACTGGAATATTGCTGAGTGCGGCGTAAAACTAAACTCACTCACTCGCTCACAAACATGAGTTTAGACAGGGTGTGAATGAAATACTAAGTATTATCTCACAAACTTAGGTTTTATGATGTTACATAGGTTATATGACAAGAATCCGGGTTAAAATATATCTTCAGCAACCAATGCTTGTCGTAAGAGGCAACTAACAGAATCGGGTCGTCAGGTTCGCAGACTGTTGTTATATAGCTCAAATATTGCTGAGTACAGCGTTAAACAACAAACCATCCAGCCGATCCACAAAAGTCTATAGCCCTACAACATCTGTAAGCCTATGATAAACTATGGAGTTACAACAGATCGTAAAATTATTAACGCTTTGTGGGTTGGGACCGTCTTTAAACGGGTTGAGAAACTTCAAATGACCAATACCCACATCATTACAGTAGGAACCCTGACAACACAGGCTTACCACAGGGGCGGAAACAAATCCACCAAGTTACAGTTGAGAAACTTTAAGTGATAATTACTGCACTTAAGGTTCAGTTGACGGAGTGGTACTAGCTGTCGGAGGTGACAGTTGCTAGGTATGGTCAATACCAGCCATGACAACTAAAACCTGAAGAGTTTCAGCACATAATTGCATGATTTCTACCAGTTCCCTAGTCATTCTCCATGTTTTATTCACAATCTTGTTATTTGTCTAGAGAAGTGAGGCACTTGTGTGTAATTTGATTTTATGGCTGTTTGCAGATGCAATTACACATTTCCTGGAGACATGGGGAGTTGCTACCTCCTAGATATGGCTTTTTCATCCGAGACCTTGATTTTTTTATGTCGTGGATCTGATGTCAGACTTGGCAGTGTAGTTCAGAGCGAAAAACCTCACGATATCGATCACACAGATTGGTTAATGATTTCAACTTGAAACTTTCAAATGGCGAGTGATTAGCCTTGTGGTCAAAGTATTCACTTACAGCGAAGACCTGGGTTTGATTCCCCACATGGGTACATGTGTGAAGGCCATTTCTGGTGTCCTCTGCCATGATATTGCTTGAATATTGCTGAAACATAGGCAGATCCAGACTTGGGGTGCAGGGTTGCACAACCCCCTTTTGTCCTGAAAGTTTATTAAATGACCATTGAAACTCTCGTGAAAACATGTAAAATGAACTGTGCACACCCCCACCCCACCCCACCTCCTTTTCTCAAAAAGCTGTATCCGCCCCTGTAAAAGTGGTGTAAAACCATACTCACTCACTCAAAGACTCAACGAGTTAAAGAATTACGATGTATTGTCACATAAGCAGGATCACAGCAACTACGACTTTGTGATGTTGGGATAATTTAGGAATTATTTTTCATATGTTTGATTGGCATTTTAGAAGTTGATAGATAAAAGAAAAGTATAATACTTTAAGGATAAAAACTATGGCATTTAGCCTATGGTATACAACAGTGTTCACGAATAGTGTCTGACCCTCGGACAAATCCGGCAGATTCGCCAAAGGTCTGATAGAAGTCTACAACCCACCAGCCCCAGTGTCTGAGTGTATATTTCACAATGACTTTGACTGAAGTTGTTATATGTGACATGTGACACTTGTTTGCTGTTTATAAATCTTATGTTTGCCAATAATTTCAATGCCAATTATAAGAAATGTTAAATCTGAAATGTGTGTTTGGTCCTGTGAATTTTCAATGGGTCAGACAGACATCTGAAGCTTACATACAGGACCAAATGTCCTGTTACTTTGAAACACCATTCGTGAACACTGTATACAACACGTATATCATGTTCTGCTAAGGCATATCATTTACACCATTACAGTATTGTCAAATAGTTCCCAGTATACTGGACATTATTTTGAATTAGTTAGGGTATGTGACTTGACCTCATTAATGGAAACAAACTATGGGTCATGATCTTTTAAGACTGCACAGCGCAACTAAATATTGTAATTCAATTAATTCTTTCTTTTATATGTCACGATACGTGGATAACATTGTCTCCATCAAAGACCTCACGATCTGGTGTCTTCTACAGACTATCATGGTGCTCCTAATGTTCGGTGAATCATCACAAGCCTAATCACTTTCGACAATCCTCCATTGTGTTATACAGACAGACACCAGCCTATACTCAGCATCCATCAAAGTCCTGACCTGGGAGTGCCTGCACGGTCAAGTGGATTGAGTCTAACTATAGAGGTTTATACAGAAAGTGTGGGTGGGACGTTATTAGCAAAACAATGATTGTTTGTTGTTTATTGCTGCTCTATGATATCGACTTTTAGGTGTGTGTGTGCGTGCGTGCGTGCGTGCGTGTGTGTGTCAAGTGGACACCCCCTGGGCTAATCTGGGACAAGAAAATTACCCCTCTGCCAGAACAGATAACAATGTTCCTTGATCAGTGGTCAGATGATTGCAAGGCCTACACCATAGCTATAGTATGATATTATCACACACAGACCGTGAAACACGATGGAAACTTTCAAGGTGGTCCACATGGCCCAAGTTGAATAATTCAGTACTACTGTGCAATACTATGCACTCTGTTCATGCAGTATTAGGGGCGGTGGGGTAGCCTAGTGGTTAAAGCATTCGCTGGTGATGCTGAAGACTTAGGTTCGATTCCCCACATGGGTACAGTGTGTGAAGTCCATTTCTGGTGTCCCCTGCCGTGATATTGCTAAAAGCGGCATAAAACCATACTCACTCATTCACTTATATTGATCTGTAAATGATCAAGTCTGGACTAGACAAACCAGTGTTTGATAAAATGAGCACTGATCTAAGAATTTGACATGCATCAACCACCAAGTCCTGTTAGTTGCCTTTTACAAGCATGCGTTGCTGAAGATTAATTCTAATCCAGATCTTCACGGTTGTTATCAATATGTGATCCTCACAGCTCCTGTTGTAATGATGCATGGGGTGGCGGGGTAGCCCAGTGGTTAAAGCGTTGGCTCGTCACGCCGAAGACCCGGGTTCGAATCCCACATGGGTACAATTTGTGAAGCCCATTTCTGGTGTCCCCCGCCGTGATGTTGCTGGAATATTGCTAAAAGCGGCGTAAAACCAAATTCAGTCAGTCAGTCGGTAATGATGCAAACACTGGTAATTCCAGCTACCTATTAAATCTAGAGGGCAAAGCGTCTGCAGTGACACCCAAAAATCAGTTTGATTCCAGGCTGATTCATACCCAAAGATGTTTAGGAAATAAAGTTCGCTCTACCCCAATGTGTTTTGTAATAAAGTATAGTTT